CCCCCCCGCCAATAAACGCGCGTGTGGGGTGTGGTATTCTCTGGCCCTGGGAAAGTCACTGTTCCTGCGGTTGGCTGTTAAGAGTCCACGGCAGAAACCGGATTCTCCTGCAAAGTCTGGGCTTCTCATGCAATGGGCTCCAGGAGGGCTAGTTCTGTCTTGAGCATCCAGGACCCCCAGGCCAGACCTACAGCCAATGGCAGCTAGATCAGATCAGTGAAATAGGGCTTTTAACGAGATGAACGCCACTTCGGAATTTGCAACATCAACAAAAATGATCATGTCCCAGCCATCTGACTTGCTTTCTGTACAAAAAGAACAGCAAAGGCACTTCCTAACACTCACAGTTACAAGAGCCAGCCTTACATTTATTTTCAACCCCAACATGTGGATTTCCTGAGGATCGTTTTTGCATCTTCATTTAAAAAAATAGAGAAAACAAAAAATCTTACATATAAAGCTCTTCACAGTAGAGTACCCTCCTATTTTCTAAAGTGACTCCAAAACCCTAGGGGAGCCGAATTTGTTTAGGCTAAAGAATCTATCTTCATACCTGAAAATCTTGCTGATATTGTTCATTGAAATACTCAGTTCTGGGGTAAAGCAGGGAAGAAACAAAAGTCATTATTGTGTTACACACAGGATTCATAAAGAAATTCAGGCCACATCTACATTACAAGGTTTTTGCATCAAAACAGCCGTTTTGGTGCAAAAACTGGCAAAGCATCCACACCTCAAATGTGCTTTTGCACAAGAAAATTGGTAGAACATAGGGCTTTTTGTGGTACAGTTATTCCTCTCCCCACAAGGAATAACTCCCTTTTTGTGCAAGAGTTTTTGGGTATAAAGGCAAGTGTGAATGCTCTGCAGGGAAAAAGCACAGGTGCTCTCATGGCCATTCTGTGAATGGCAAATCAGAGTTTTCTTGTGCAAGAGTGTCCATGCAGTGTGGACGCTCTCTTGTGTAAAAGCGCATTGCAAAAGCGATGCACTTTGAGGTGTGGACGGGTTTTTGCAGAAGATGTTTTTGCACAAAAACTTTTACGCAAAGGCTTCTTCCGCAATAATCCTGCAATGTAGACGAAGCCTCAATTTATAAATGCTGCAATGAATATAGCCTGCTGTAAGTCATTTTACAATTTGGGTAGAAAAAAAATAGTATTTTGATCACAGTCATGTTTGAAGATTATTGTAAATGTTACAATGAAATCCCATGATTAGGGAAAATGTAGCATCTCTTTGTAGCTACACATGTGGTTCTGAAGAGATTCGTTGAACAAGATTCCAACTACAAAGGTCAATAACTTAAGGAAGCATGGGGGAGCTACAAAGCAGCTTTTAATATGTCACAGACAGATCTTTCATGAATACAATTAAATCTTAAAATAATTAGTAATAATTAAAATGCCATTTGCTTACCATCTCTACCTAAAATTCTTGAGATTTTTGTTCTTTTTAAACTTCTTTCCATTGCTACAGATAATCTTTAAGGTTGTAGAAGCTCTAGTTTGCTCATGTTTTACTTTACATCTCTCATTCAAGAACTATAAATTTACAGAACCTTGTCAATAACATCACATTTACACATCAGTCATAATCAGAGACAGATACTGAGAAAAGAATGGAAAACAGAAAAATAAGTTCTAAGTATTTTGAGAAGCTGCAGCAGTTCACTTTTTTTTAAATAGTTCTCTCAAAGGGAGATGAATGATTACAGTTTGTTGATCATTTCACTTTGTGTGCGCATTTTCACTCTGATAAGGAAACATAGGAAAAACTGTATGTGTAAAACGAACAACCTTAAATGATTATGTCAATCTGCAATGTAGGGCACATGGAGAGCAAAACCTAATCTCTGAGAGGTTTCCACTTCATCTGCACTCATCAGTGTAATCAGCTTTTCATCTTGACATAGGATAAATGTAACCAGCCTGCTGCTTCATTTACCCTACAGAGATAGCTACTGTAGATTTGTATGAAACAAAAATGTACAGACTTTGAGAGGAAGGGTCTTGCTTAAATTCCCTGAAACTATCCAGTCCTTAGGAAGAATTAAAAGTTTATGTCTTCTGCCTTTTGAGTTCCTACACAGATTTGATATGTAATGAAAGATTTTCATATTTAATATGGCAGCTAAGCCACCTTCTGATGAACCAATTCTCACTGTTAGCTGAGCTATACTTTTATTATTCTGAAACAAAATACAGGACTATGTAGCACTTTAAAGACTAACAAGATGGTTTATTAGATGATGAGCTTTCGTGGGCCAGACCCACTTCCTCAGATCAAATAGTGGAAGAAAATAGTTACAACCATATATACCAAAGGATACAATTAAAAAAATGAACACATATGAAAAGGACAAATCAAATTTCAGAACAGAAGGCGGGTGCGGGGTGGGGAGGTAAATGTCTGTGAGCTAATGGTATTAGAGGTGGGAAAAGGTAAATGTCTGTGAGCTAATGGTATTAGAGGTGATAATTGGGGAAGCTATCTTTGTAATGGGTAAGATAG